TGTCGACAATAAATATATCTAAATGTAAGACACGTTCAGACAATTTCTCTTATTGTCGCACAAAATAAAACACAAAAAATTCATTATATTTTTGTTGACACTCTTTCGCTCACACATCACATCCCATCCCTATATATACAGTATATATCGCTAGTATTGCTTTCATTATATGAAATGATGATAATAACTAATAACTTGTTGTGAGTAAAGCGACACAACTTAATAAATAACACTGTTTTATATTATATAATATACAATACATATAATGCTGTTGTTTTATACATGATAAAATTACAAAATCTATAAAATCTAATGTTTTAAACATTTTGATAATAAGCAACATTTCACACTTTACTCCATACAATATATTAGAAATAATTTTGTGTGTTTTATTGAACGTTGTTATAATTTATAAGACATGATTATGATCAAAATATTTGATATGTAAAACTTTAATGTAATTCAAAATGATTGAGAAATATCACAATAAATAAGTATCAAAACCATAATTAAATTATTAATGTAATTTAATTTAGTTTTGTGCATGGTATAAATAAAAATTGATGAACTAGCTAACCAGATGTCTGGTGAATCAAATTAGTTGTTTTGTTTTGTTTTGTTTTAACCGTATATTTCAGTTATAAATATGTATATAAATATAATCTCTGAAATTGACAGACAATCTAATAGATAAGCAAAAAACAAAAGGATTTTTTGTTTTGAATCATAGTTTTTATGCCATATATTCCGAGAGAATAAATAATTTGTTTATAAAAAAGCATTTTTGCCTATTTTTCCAATGGGTTTAAAAATATAATATAAGTTTGCAAAGATTCTGATAAAAATGAATTTTTCTGCAGAAATTTAAATCAATTTCTGAGTACAAAATGAAAATTCAATCAATAAATAAGATTTGTTGCGAAATATCTAAAAAACTGCTATTTATTTGTATTAAAATCTCTTAAATTATAACAAAATGTAAAATATGATTTTAAAGAATAATGATAAAACATGAAATTCACATTCGTGTTTTTGATTTTATTCTCTCTCTCTCTCTCTCTCTCTCTCTCTCTAAGTCCTATGCGTTGAGCTCTGGTATCGAAAGTATCAGTGAAGCGCATACTAAACCACAATCAATCAGACGCCGGTCTCCTCATCGAGAGAGAGAGAGAGAGATACAAACAGCAAAAATGAATTTCTCTCTCTCTCTCCATCACTAACTCTTACACTATTATTGTGTAAGATTTTTGTGTTAAATATTGGTTTATTGCTCTCTCTCTCTCTCTCTCTCTCTCTTAAAGTACACACACTAACCAAAAATGGCAGTTAATTTTGATGTCTGTATCTAAATACTAGTGAAATCCAAACATAAATGGCTCGACAGACAGACACACAGAATATATGGATATATAGGGAAAGACAGAGTATTTGGGAAGACATTTGAGATAAGAGTGGAGTCCAACCAAACGGACGGACGAAACAAAAAACAAGACAATGAGAGAGCAATAAACCAATATTTAACACAAAAATCTTACACAATAATAGTGTAAGAGTTAGTGATGGAGAGAGAGAGAGAGAGAGAGAGAGAGAGAGCTAAGGAGAGACCAGACTTTCATTAACCCTAATCTATAACTGTTATCCGAAACTATTATTTTCGCAATAAGTTTTGATATTTATTTATTAATTGAATGGTAATCTCTAACACAACACTACAATAAATCTAATTTATAAATACAGTATACTATATATAAATGGCAGTGGATTTATATTATAGCAGTTTTGTATGCGAACCCGGTTTTGTCCTGAATTCACTATTAATACATAGATTGTCTTACACTGTATTTCCAGATCATATCAATAATAGTATTAATACATTATTAACTTATATAATACATTTTACCATCATGGTTTTACTTTAAAACAATTTTAATACACATATCATGCAATTATTATGATTATATACCAAACACATGTATATTTAATGGGTGTACATATTTTACGGTGAATTTATTAATGTCTATTAATTAAACATTGTAATTAATTCATACGGTCGTGCATGGTCTTATCGAGATTAATTCATTATAATAAATTACATTAATTCATTTTGTGCCCATTGGCCGTACAATTATATATGTTTTGTTATATCATATAACTTATAGTATAATAATCATAATCACAATAATATATCTCACATATACTGTATAGTGAATGATATATCTGTAAAATTTAATAACACATCCATCACTCCATGCCCTCCACTCCTAATGGTTAGTCAATTCATCACATATTACTGTAATATTATATTTCCGGATCTATTCTCTCTCTCTCACACACTCTCTCTCTCTCCTGACTTAGCCTTTAGTCTTTCTGTTAGACTCTCTCCGATCTTCGCATTTATTAATTATTTTATCGATTCTTTCAATAATTCCTGACTCTCTCTCTCTCTCTCTCTCTCTCTCTCGCGTATATGATATAATAAATATAATCTTTTGACGTATAGTATAGTACTTCTCATCAAATGCTCTAACCTCGCGGTTACAGAGATATAAGTAAACAAAATCGGGTCAATTGTATGCACATTTGTTTGTACACTAAATCAATACACATTAATTTATCCTGTGTAAGATTTCTCACTATATTATAAGCACAATATAATGTTTACAATATTTAATAAATTATAATTATGGTTAGTTCATTTATCTTTAGCTAAAACATAAATCTAATACATGCTGATAATCGCTCTATCTTACCCCTACCCCTTTTACACAGACACTATTGTAATGTAAATTTTATTTGCCATTGATTTGTGTGTTTAAGACCATAAAGAATTCAGTTCTGGGCGGAGATCTGTTCACCAAAATATTCTTTGGTCAAGAATTTGCGATCAAGAATTCAGTCGCTTTCTCTCTATCTCTATCTGTTTTAACCATTTTCTATCTAATCTGGTTTATATGTAGTGTACTCTCAATGATATAGATAACTATTCAGTCCCTATTTCTCACACTAACTCTCTCTCTCACCATAATATTTATAATACTTTCACTTTGATATATACTGTCTCTCTATTTATTGATTTTTTGATTTGTTGTTTAACTTCAATCTCATAGACTATTCTACTCTCATCTCTCAGTCACTCTCTTTCTCTCTCTCTCTCTCTCTCTCTCTCTCTCTCTCTCTCGACTCAATTCATGACTTACAACGAGAAATACTCTTCAGAATTGGTTTTAGATTTTTATATATCGTTGAATGAATTATGCGATTCAAATGACCATCTCCTTTCAAATTCAAATTTACCTATCACTTTAATATAAATCCTTGAAATATTTTGTGTTTCCAATATAATCAAGCTAAAATTTTAAAATATACTTTATATTTAATTACGATTATTAAATAAAATATTATTGATATACAGAGTTGGGCATAAGTGACTGGAGTTTTAATTAATTTTTTAAAAATACTTAGAGTTGAGATATTTTGTTGAAGTAAAGTTTGTTTTGATCACAAAAGTGTGTAGTTTTTTTAGCACATGTTTTGATTTGATTAAAATGGCCACTACAAAAACTGTGTCCACCACCAAACAGAGGATCATTATCATCGAGCTGTACATCGAGAATGCGCGATCGGCTGCGGCAACCTTGCGCAAATCCAAGGCAAAATATGGGCAAAGTGTGACCTTAACTTTGACCACAATCACCAAGGCAGTTTTTGAGGGGAGGGCTTTTTTACCCGTAAATCCGTCGGTCTGTCGGTCCGTCGATAATTTATAATTAACTCGATATATTAATATTATATATGAATCCGATGTAGAATTTAACGCTGAGTCTGAATTTGAAATTAAAAAAATTTCATCTCAAATATTCTTCGAGTTATTCGACTTAAAAGTTTCGACCGACGGACCGGTTTTTTGTCAAAAGTTTACGGCATTTGATTGTGTGCGAGGGTGGTCACTTTGGGAACCTCATCCATTTGTTCCACTAAAACTACCATTATTTCTAAATAAAACAAACTTTACTTGAACAAAATATCTCAACTCTAAGTATTTTTAAAAAATTAATTAAAACTCTAGTCACATATGCCCAACCCTGTATGATAATATACATATTGTATTATTAATATTTATATAATGCACTTGATTATATTCATTAAAAATAATTTTATTATGGTCTAATTTGTTACTTTTTTAACAACTTATGAATTAATTACAAAACTACCAATAATTTACCAACAGTAATAAAAATTTATTTCAAATAAATTCAATGTTGTTACAATTTTATTATATTTAATTTATTTTTAAAATGCGTTATTTTAATTAGTGCCACATGCATACTGAAATTTTCTTGTCTTCTTATTATTTTTTGGCACTAATAATTATTTATCATGGTGATTAAATTTTTAAGCTTTGCGCCAAGAGTTTCCGCGTCAGCATTCGTACATCGAGTCTAAAATACTTGAAAATTAAATAGATTTTAAAATATTTAAACCAGGGATTAAAATTGTAATTAACTGTTGTTAAGCTTTATTCATTATTGATTCAGCATAAAAATAGCTTGTTTATCAAAGTAAAGGTTTATTATATGGTTTGAAAATTGACATTAATAATTTAAATTATACCTGTTAATAAATGGTCACTCAATGTGTTTGCATTTCATTGATGAGTGAAATGTGATTTCAATAATTTCACGTGACTTCACTGACCCTCCAGTTTTATGTTAATTAATTTAGTTAAAATGTTTTCATTAAATTAAAAATTAATAGTTTTACAATTTAATGGTTTATACAAACCATGTAGGGTTATAGCTAAAATTGCCCAGTAAACGTTTCAATGACTAATAAACTTTGCTAAATTTCTAACACAACACTTTTTAACAAATGGTTAAAATTGTTCAAACCATGTTGCTCATATTTTCGATTTAATTATAATTTATACAAGCATTTCAAATGAGATAAATTTGTTTAATTAAATTAATTTGTTTATTTGTTATTACAATTAATTAAAACAATTATACAATGAATTCAATTGGTTTCACAATTTTATTGCAGTATTGTATCAGCAATTGGTTGACAGCATTGATGTCCGCATCACTCAATTCACGCATTTCTTCGCATATATTCACAAATATTTGCATTTTACTGATTGCATACGTATTCTGGAAATTACATAAATAATTATATATAAATTAAATTTATAATAAATTAATTTCCAAAAACCTGTCCCAATATATAGCACTTGTTGTGAAAAGTGTCCACAAGTTTGTGATAACACTTTCTGTTATTGATCTGTAGTTTACTATTGAGTACAACATTGGCCTCAATTCCCAGCAATGAATTCACGTATTCCTCGATTTGTTTGTTCATTAATTCCCGATTTCTTAACAATACTTCCAATTCATTCACATATCTATCGGTTTATAATTAAAATAAATGTTTTAATTAACAAAAAACTTATTTTATATTTATAAATAATAAACCTTTGTTTTAATCCCAATTCATTAGTGCTTTTAATCATACGCTGAGCCAAATATAAAGGCACATCCCGTATGGGCACTGAGTTTTCCGATTGTGCAGGCATTAAATAACTATTAGCATTAATGGGTACCTGTTTATCACCTAGAGCAGATAAATATTACAAATAATTTTATTTTACATTGGTTTAAGCTTAATTTTATTACTAACCAAAATATTTAGATAAGTGTTCGCCAGCTATTGATAAATCACCATATTGTTGTGGATGCGCATCAGTATGCTTCAATTTGAATATAAGTAAAATTTAATAATTAAAATTCTATTAATCTTTACTAAAATAACAATATTTATAATAACTATATATACCGTATGCGCTAGATAATTGTACTGTGTTGCAAATGTCTCCTTGGTCAAGTCCTGATGCTCACTATCATAAAGCCAGTCGGAAGACCATTTAAACGCTGAACATTTGATAAATAATAGACATAATTATATGTTGTTCATAATAAACAAATAATTTAAGGTAATTATGGTGTTCGTTAATAAACAAACAATATTGTAAATTATAATAGATGTAGATTTAATATCTAGATAAATATAAAAACTAAATACATACAAATACATGCGCCACGTTCGTCGCCACCGCAGTCAGAATGTATTTCTTCGTCGGCTCGGGAGGCAGTCATGGCGTATACGCTAATGTTGTTTGGCAATAGGTTTTCAAACATTGAACCTGGTTGCCACATAAAGCATGCAAATCATATAGCTTATTTTAAAAATTAAATCCCATTATTAAATTATGTTAATAATATTACCAGAATGACACGCTGATAAATAAAACACTAGGGTCTTAAATTTATATTCGCCATGCATTGTAATTAGTGTTTGTATCAGATCTTCAGCCATAAGATTGCTTGTTGGAAAATTAACGTACCCTGGCCAGAAATATGGTTTAATTTAATTAATTAACTAGCATTACCAATTATATAATTAATTATATTTACTAACCCGGCATTCCATGATCATCTAAATAGACAAACACGCGATCGTTTGGACCACTTTTAAGGACTCGTTTACCTTTTTTGACTAATTCCTCGTCTCCTCGAAGTATACCCAAAAAATTCTGCGAATGGATAGTCATTGCAATTATTTATTTTAAAAATTTTAGTGTAAATTGTAGTATTACTTGTGGTGTGACTTCGTCTCCGGTATAGTCTTTAGGAACGCCTTTATAGACAT